CCGACCCCCACCACCACCCCACCCTTCAACAAGTGGCTTGCACAGACAATGGACACATGCCAATGCGTTGACCTACGCCGAGCCAATAGGGTCACAATTCAGAATTGCATCTCACACACGCACTCGACCGAAAATATCTCTGTCACACACTACAGAAATTAATAATACGAAATTATATTCCCGGCGGCCCCTCATTACGAACCTTTGACTGCCTTCGCATGCACCGGCTCGCCCTTCTCACATGACAAACGGTCAGGTCACATTTCACGTGGCAAAAATTGATCAAGCGCTCCACAGCTGCGCAACCTCCGCTCCCCCCCTCCCCCGTGGCGAATGCGGACGGCGCTCGGCATTACGCCGGCCGCCGGCCCGGCGGATTGAATTTCATCTCCGAGACGTCATAAAATTAGACGACTCGGGCACTTGTGAAGTTTGTAACCCAAGATGGAAAGCCGGCGTTAGAACTCGGGGAAAACGGAAAAAGTTGGGAGAATTTTTACGGTCACTGCGGAAGCATGATATGCATCGTCTTATCTTAATCAAGCTTTAATGATTATTTTTTTTGATTTTCCAGGTTTGAATGGACATTGACTGTGAGCAAAATTGCACAACAAACAGGTATGAGAAGCCTCCTTTCTATCTTTCAATGCTATTCAGTCTACTTTGTCAACCTGAACCTCATCCCCAAGACCCCCCTCACCCCTGTATGCCCCACCCCTCCGCAGTAGTCTTACCACCTATGCCTCAAAACAAAACAAAAACTCACCCCCTGGCTCATCTTTGTAACCCGTCTTCTTTTTTTTTGTGCTGCCATTAAAGGGCCCCTTTGTTAAGAGAAACTGGAAGGCGCCGCCAAAATCGGGTGACTCCCTTCAGGGGTATCAGTTCACTCGTCCCTCCGGGGTGCGTTGGTGTTAGGCGGCATCATTCTCATGCAAGCAGGTGGATTGGAAAGCGTTCAACAGGTGTGGATGAATAACACTAGATGGGGGCCAGGGTGGGGGGGGGCGTCTTCACTGTTTGGCTTGACAAAAAGTGTGTTTTTGAGAGATTATGAATGCAAACTTTGGCATGGGTCTCATATGTTACCGTCTCTGCATTTCCTCCATGAGAGTAACAAATGAAGGACTTTCAAGAAGTCGGGCCGCAACCTGACTGGGCCTCACCCCCCCCCCCCACCCCCCAAAAAAAAGGCGCTCACTTTCTTTCAGCACTCAACTGTGGTGAGAAGCCATGACCGTAAAGCGGATGCAAGAAAGAGCTGAATAATTAGAGCCTGGAGGATTGTCCCAAATTTGGCTGCCCCATTCATGCATGCGCACACACGTATGGATCAGTGCGTGCACTTGCCTTTACTTCTTCTCTATACACATACACACACACACACACACACACACACATGCATATTTCAACCTGGAGGATTTTTAGGCCTATCTTTGCACATGCACGCAGGCTAATCGGGGCCTCTTCACTGACAGAAAGCAAAGGGTCACTCGGGGTGAGAGGTTTGTGATGGAAATTTGGACGGCAGGCGTAGGAAAACAAAGATGGGAGACGGGACGTCCCCGCCGACGACATACTTTACACATGACATAACACATCTTGGATTTTTGGGGAGAAAATGCGTCCCTAAATTTGGATTGCGTTGCTCCTCGTTTTATTGACGGTTGTGGAGAAAAAGCAACATAGCCTTAGTTGGAAGAACGGAGGGTTTTAGCGCTTGTCATTGGTCATGAGTCAAAGCCCTCGCGCTGATGTGATTACCGTCCAATTTGGAATCTGCCGACAACACACTTCCAGGATGAAGATGAGCCGCTTTCAGCGAGTTTGCGCCACAACAAATAGAGCGATTGTTTGAGGCGGACGATGACATTTTGATGACTTTGCACAAGACAGATTGAGGGTGGGGGGATTGGCTTTTCGTTGACTTCCGATGGACACCCAATTGGAAAATTCGCCTTCGCCTGACCACGGTCCCTTTGTCTGTCCGTCCATCGCTTTCCCGTTCAGTCTGTCAATCTTATTTTCGATGCAAATGAAGGCGTCATGATCCAAAGCATACCACACAATACGTCAAACATATCAAGTTAGACTTGGCTACATGTCATGTCTCGGCATGCTCACATCACACACACAATCAGCCCCAAGCTCATTATGTATATCTTAGGCTAGCGGGGGGGTTGCTGACCCAGAGAGCATGACCCGAGGGGACATTCAGGGAGTTATGGGGGGAGGGGAGGGGCCACAGCGTGGTGGTCCAAGGGAGGGGGCAACGCAACTTGTTGGTGCCCCTGTTGGTTGCGTTTGCTGCCTCGAAAGATTCCTCATTGATTGGCCAAAAAGGGAATCTGGATGATTGAAAAAGTGGGCACCATTTTTTTTTTTTTTTTTTTTTTGACTTGATAAGATGATGAGCCCGCAAAAACAAACCTCATTTGCATGATCAGAAAAGTCTTTTGTCTTTGGAGCCCGCAATTAAGAACAAGATGTAAGCAAAACATTGTCCCCTCGCTGGCTTTAGTAGATGTCCACTGAATTGATAACAATTCCTAATCCATTTATCTATTTCAATGAAACTTAAAATGCCCCCCCCCTTTTTCCTTTTTTTTTTTTTTTAACGTGCGGAATGTGCTGAGTGGGGGATGCAATGATGACTTCGCCCTCCTCAGTAGAAGTCAGACACAGGAGGTTTGATTTCCCTCCAAAAGTGCTCCACCATTGTGGATGCGCCTCCACCCACCCAGTCGCCCCCCCCTGCCCCCCATCCACTGCCTTCCACCCCAACCACAACAGCAGCCGCCATCCAGGCCCCCCAGCCGACACACATCAATCCACACCGTGTGGGGGTATGTTTTGGGAAGGTGGTTTGTGTGTGTGTGTGTGTGTGTGTGTGTGTGTGTGTGTGTGTGTGTGTGTGTGTGTTGACCCCCCCGAGGGGGGGCATGGAGGATTTTTGTCCAAACAAAGGCGTTTGTTTTTTCAAAACAAACATTGCTTTTTTAAATGGAAGTCATTGTTTGTGTCTTACAGGTTTTTCATGCCCGTGAGTCAGTCAACTTGCTGGAAAAGGAGATGCGATCACCCTGTAGGAGGGAGCTGTGACTTTCGCAACTCCTCCATTTTTGTGCTTTTTTTTTTTTTTTTTTTATCAGTAAGTATAATCAGGCCCGCAGACGTGTGAAGATGAACTTTGACTCTGTGGTGATCTCAAGCTTCGGGATATCCCCCTCGTTTGGCGCTTCACCTCGGTGCTCGACTTTCGGCGACCGCTCGCTCGGGCCTCACGTAAGTTGCGTTCTGCCCGCTCTGCACTTTAAATCCTGATGGTTATGGTTTGTCGTTGGGGTTTCAAATCATAGCCCTCACACCGAACTAACCTCCTCAGATGGATCAAGGCGCTTGACACGAATGACTTAGAATGAGCGAGGCGGGCCAGTGATGACGCGTGTGGGGAGCAAACACAACATCTGCAGCTTTTAGTCTCTCGTCACATCAATCCTTGTTTGACTTCCTGTCCACTCTGCCACCTCCTGCAAGTCAAACAACTCACGCGGGGCATGCCGAAACATTCCGAGTAGTTTCACACGAGTAAACCTAGCTGAACACAAATAGAACCTGCTCTCTTTGTACTGGGGGGGGGCGGGCTGAAAGCCATCCGGTGTCATGTTTGCAATGTGTTTAATGAACACTTAGGCCTACTGTGCTATTGTGTGGTAATGTTGGTCATACTGGTGCGGCTTGGAGGCGTAAGAATGTTTGTTTGAGGGGGTACTTGATGTCATAAATTTGAGAGCCATTTCTCTATATCACTGAGATGATTGCGGATGTTGGTTCTGCAGTTAAAAAAAAAAAAAAGACCTATACCGTGCAAAACTTAACATGAAAGAACATAACGTGGCTTGTATGCAAATGTCCTCTCCCTCCAAGTCAAGGGCAGTTGCAAACTTTGTGAGCAGGTGTTGAACATTTGCATATTCGGGACACTTTATCCCACAGGTAAACAGATGACAAAGTGTGGCCCGTGTCGGGGGTTAAGAAAACCACGCACGCATTCAGAACAACAACAACCATTAACTATTTCCTCGTCTTACATCATTATTTTATGTTGGTATTCATCCTGCATTCAAGCACTTTTTGCAAAGAGTCGATGAGCCTTTTCCTCTGTCAAAGTGAGCAAACTCACCCAACAAAGGGCCGGGGCCATATGGATGAATGCTGCTTTTGTTTTGCCCATTTGAACCTGAGCTCCCCCCCCCCCCCAAATAATGCTAAGAAGAGTGTGTTCACCCTTTTTGGCTTGCCGGCCGCTCTTTGGGCGCCAGTACCAAACGGGGAAAGCGACTACGGCTCGGAGAGGAGAGAATCAATCAGGAAGTGTTTGTCTTTCAGCTGTGCCAGAGGAGCCGGGCAACTTCCTCATCTCGTCGCCAAGGTGACGGGAAGCTCTGCCAGCTGGTGCGGCGGCGGGCAGCGCCTTTGAATGGAGCGGAGGGGCGACGGCGGTTGGGACGCGAGACACAATAACGGCCAGTTGAAATGTAAACACTTGAAACCGCATGCATGAGACTTTGTTTCTATATCGCTCCTCATCCTGTGCCAAGAAAATGCTAATCCCTCCAATCAGTCTTGTTTATCTATGCAGGATTGCTTTGCAGGTGTATAACTTCATGCAAACCATCATGCAACGTGTTTTGTTATTGCATTTTTTCTCGATTAGATGTACATTTTTTTAAATTCCTGCTCAATGCTACAGTCTGAGAACTGTGATTACCTTGTATAGCCAAACATTTAGCATCCCTGTGCTCGGGTGGCTGTTCTGTAGGATCCGACTGGTGTAGATGGGTAAACACAGCTGGGGGGGGGGGGGACACAGGCAGCAATGGTGACTCACCCCCCACCCCCATGCACCCTTTCCTACACTCATTTATTTATCTGTGTGTTTGCTTTAGGGATGTGCACTAATCTTCATGCGAGCCTTTGCAGAGGCTTCACAACCTGGGATGAAAGTGACCATCACGAGCTGGCTAATTCACCCAAGGCGAAATCGGAATGTTCTTTGTATTATAAAGGCCTAAAGAGGGCACAGGGGGTCATCCATGGATTTATCTCTGTGGGATGCATTTTCTCAGTGGGTGGGATCCTCCTGAAGAAAAACATTTAAATTGTTCCAGAGGATCTTGTGAAACTTGATTCTACTTTACTGTCATTGTACAGGAACGCAACTGTTTTTTTTTTAACAGGAAGAGGTCGTGCATATCAATGGAATCATGGACTAAACTACCACGATGGACTTGTGTTTGAGATCTGCCTCACAGGTACACCTCGAACACTTACGGACAATTTTCTTCAGTGAACCTACCATGCATATTCTCTTTCTCGCTCTATTTCTCGAGAGACAAACCTACATGTGTCAAGTATTTTTGGACACGACCTCACAAATAAGATAATTCATCTTCCAATCCTGAAGCCAAACTGTCTTCATTTAATTAGTTTAGAACGTCCTCTTCTGGTGGTACTTTGTACTGCACGTACTGAAAAGTGCTGTTTTTTTTGTTGTTTTTTTTTGTCACGTTAAATGTTGTTCGTTCCTTCATTCAAACATAAACACACCAAAGACTGAGTTGTATAATGACAATGCCAACCGTCTATTATATTTCGATGAGGAATAGAATAAGAAACTGCCCTTCGCGGCTTCCGTTGACGTCACGCGATGCGTGACGTCAGCATAACAACAACCTGCCTTCATAGCTCACGGGAGAAATTGAAACGAGCAACATTATAAAACCAATATTCCTAAAACCACTTTGAATGTAAGGCGTCTCTCGAAAGGTGGGCATTTTGAGCTATGTAAAACGAGCAAACCAACGACTGTTGCCGTCGGCATGACATGCCAAAAAAATATCAAAAAAATCACCTAGCGCTCGAGCTAATTTATCGTTGTTGTTAGCCAAATGCTAAAAGGCTTTATAACGGCCCGCTGATGTTTCATACTGCTAACTTTATTAGACTTTGCTATCATCAACAGCTCTTGGTTCGCGGTGTTAAAATCAATCATTGATCTATTACGCGTCACCTAGTGAGTTGTCACGATCGCGTACATCAGTGTGCTAGGTGGCTAACTAGCAAGCGTCAATTACTCAGCGCAAAGTCAACGCTTTGATAAACGGACGCAAGTGGCAACGTCTCCGATTGCTTCGTGCGTGAGGTTTAAATGCCACTTGTGTTCTAATGGCGCTTAAGTGTTCCGTTTGCTCTCTCTCTCTCACTCTATTGCCGACGTCTCGCGAAGAGTTAAACTCCGCGGTCGCTGTCTTTTCTAGCTGCCAGTCAGCGAAATATCGAGAAAATCCGCTTCATTGCTTGTGTGTGGAAAAAAAAAAGAAGCACGCATTGCAGTTGCATTGCAGGATCTAACTCGCATGCCGTCTTTTGGGTGGACAGTGTTGGAGATCCAGGCGGGGACCGGGCTTTCTTGAGCCTGTCGGTTGAGCCAGCCGGAGAGACGGGGAACAGGATTGGGAAGCAGGGCGAGGCGGAGCCGGTGGAGAAGATGGCCGGCAGCCCGGAGAAGAGTTCCACCGCGCAGGAGCTGAAGGAGCAGGGGAACCGCCTGTTCCTTTGCCGCAAGTATCAGGAGGCTGCGACCTGCTACAGCAAGGCCATTGTGAGTAAAATACCTTTGGACTCTTTTTAACTCTCTTTCATAGAGCAACCCTATTCAAGGATCATTTTTGAATGGATGCACGGTGTTGTGTTTGCACCAAACATGCAAAAGAGTCCACATCAGCGATTGTCTTGTCATCCTATCCAATGACATCGACCTGTAGTATGTAGAAGGCAAGAAGTATTTATCATATGTACAAAATCACATCAAAGATTGCTTTTTACTTTTTACCAACGTCTACATGCGACGGTGGTGTGATGTCCCGCCTTCCAGAACCGTAACCCCTCCGTGGCAGTGTACTACACCAACCGGGCCCTCTGCCATGTGAAGCTGCAGCAACATGACAAGGCTCTGGCTGACTGTAAGCACGCGCTGGAGCTGGACACCCAGTCAGTCAAGGCCCACTTCTTTCTGGGCCAATGTCACCTCGAGCTGGAGAACTACGACGAAGCCATCGGGAACCTCCAGAAAGGTCAGACCAAAGGCGCTCATATAGGTCGTGAAAACCTCCCCCGTCGGATTCTAAAACGCGCTGCAACATTCTGTTTTCTGCAGCGTACAACCTGGCAAAAGAACAGCGGTTGAATTTCGGCGACGACATCCCCGGCGCCTTGCGCATCGCCAAGAAGAAGCGTTGGAACAGCATCGAGGAGAAGCGCATCAACCAGGAGAACGAACTGCACGCCTACCTGAGCAAACTCATCCTCGCAGAGAAGGAGCGGTGAGGGCGGCCAGTGAGCTGGCGCGCTATCTCGTTTTGTTTTTCTCGCTCTCTATGAAAAGATGACTAATGTAACTGTCACGTTGCACTGCAGACAACTTGAAGACTACAAAGAAAAGCAGGATGACGATCGCATTAGCGGTGACGTGGCCAAGATTGCATCAAAACACGTACGTTCATACAGATTGTCGACCGCCGTTTGGTCTTTTGTGGTTACATTTTCACTCATGAGTGCTTCCTCGTGTGACCCAATCAGGACAAGTACTTAATGGACATGGATGAACTCTTCTCTCAAGTGGACGAGAAGAGAAAAGTGAGTATCGTCTGCATCGCAATGATGACCGAGCACACGTTTACTCTGTGTTGACGCTAATTAAGAATTAGACCAGTTCCATGCGTGTAGTCACGAAGAGCCTTTTTGTGAACATAGTCAGTACCCCCGCCCCTACCTTTTTTTTTTTTTCTTGAAATCCTCGCCAATATTTGCAACATATTTGTTTCCGAGTATTCGTCGACATCTTTTAAGAGTCAAAGGAGTGAGCCTCACGCACTGTACGTGTTAATGCCCCGTCCCACCAGAAACGGGAGATTCCAGACTATCTGTGCGGCAAGATCAGTTTTGAGCTGATGAGGGAGCCGTGCATCACACCAAGCGGGATCACCTACGACCGCAAAGACATCGAGGAGCACCTACAGGTACCAAATTCATTCCCTTGCGAAGCAAATGTCAAAGAAACCCGGTCACGTGATCGAAATAGCTTTTTAAAGTTGTGTTCCGTCCGTGATTGTTTGCTTTTGACGGCATCGCGATTCAGCAGAGGGCGCAATATTGAAAATGAAGTGATTTTATGAGTGCCGCAACTTTTAGCTTAAGTATCTGTTTTTATTTATTTTGAGATGTGAGTGCATTGGTACACAAGCAAATGAATAGGTCTGAATGTAGCTTGAACCGGGTAATGCCCCAATCAGTAAATCCAATAAATTGACGGTAAGTACAGTAAATTCCTATTGTCAAACGACAACGAGAAACTCATTGAACTGAGGTTGCGCCATGTTGAATCAAATCCTAAAGGTGGGCCTTTTTGCGCCAATTTCAACATCCCTTTTTAACCCTTCAGCGGGTGGGACATTTTGACCCGGTCACTCGAAGCCCCCTGACCCAGGATCAGCTTATCCCCAACCTGGCCATGAAGGAAGTGATCGATGCCTTTATCCAGGAGAACGGCTGGGTGGAGGACTACTAGATAAGACCCCCACCACCCGCCCCCGGTCTCCCTTTTGGGCATCGCGAGTCTACATGAGACTGTCGAGATGATGTCGCGCCTCGCCTGGACACGAACTGTCACACTTTGGACAAGCGCAGGGGAGCCGAATGTGGACCTCAGAGCCCGTCGCCGCCCTCTTTGCATCTCAAATTTGCGAGGCTGTGTGTTTGTGGCCTGCTACTCCCTTTAACATCTTCGACAACTTTGATCTTTCATTTTCCTTTTTCTCTCCCTCCCCCCCAACGCGGGGGCAGCTCTCTCGGGTCTCGTCTCATCTCCTCTCGTCTATTTCTATCTCGAGTGCCACAAATCCCAGGGACGCGTCACTAAATGCTGCCGTGTACGCGCGCGACTGCCAAGACACAGCAAATCAGATTTATTCGTTCTTAGCACTTCGACTTGAAATGTTAACTATGCCCCCCTCATCCCCCCCAAAAAAAATGTTTGCATTGTGTGACCACTTTGTATGCAAGTTTACAAAATGACAGCGAGGGTTGCGGAGTGACAAAAAACGGTTTACGTTTACGTGTGTTTCCAGTTGTCGGCTTCTCCTGTAGGTGGCGCCACAATCCGCCACCCACAGCTGCGCGCTTTGACATTTACTAATATGCTCTTTGTCCTCTTTAGTAGGACTAAGACTGAAGACTGTGCCCAACTAGTACTGCTAGTAAGGCGCTAGATATTAACTCGCAGAATCTTGCATTATCACTCGTCGTATTGTAGCACGCACTTGTAGGACAAAGGAGCGTACGGGTTTTCATACCTAATTCACCGTACTCGTAGGATAGCAAATAAATGCTTCGTCACGTGAGCATTTAGCCATCCTACGAATGCGCCGAATTTTCTTAAGCCCCTTTCCCACTGAGCGGCGAACACTCGGGAGTGTTTTCACGGGCGGCGGATGTCACGTTCACGTCAAGAGTTTGTTCAAAGTTCCTCAAACATCCGCCCGTGCTGATCACTTAAAAAAAAAAAAAAAAAACTGTTGGTGAATGCCCAACGAACATTTGTGACTTGGAACGCACCCCGACGCCAACGTGCATTTTTCTACCTTCACTTAACTCTCGCACTTTTTCGCCCCGCAGTGGGACGGACGGTCGCTTCAAATTAGTGAGCGCAAAGAGTACACGGACCCGAAGCCGGGATCTTGAGGCTCGCCAACCGCTCAAGTTCAGACAATTGAGATGAGATGAATGTATGCGTTCTGTGTTTAGTTTTGAGCTGGAAATTTGTTGAAATGGGACACTTGTCATATAAAGTGGCCTTGGAAGTGGGGAAATGAAGGCGAAAGGCTTGCTGGTTGAAAAAAAAAAAAAAAGTTTTCCCTTTGCTGGATATTCAGTCATGTATGGGAATCAGCTGATGCAAAACGTGATTTCAATGGCATTCTTGCGCCCAAACTTGTGCTGTGACGATGTTTGATGCCCACATCGCCCTTGAAGTGACTGCGTGCTTTACAAAAAAAATTTGGGGTGAAAAATGCTTTTTGTTTTTTTACCCCGATCGTCCATGCTGGTAATTTGAAGCATCGTCTTGCAAATTGCAGAAACAATCACCATTGGGGAGAGGGTGGGCGGAGGGGGTAATCTGTCAAACAAAAATTTCACGGTGTCATCCTCCCACTTGTTTAAAAGGCTGGAAAGCGCATCATCAATCAGGCACACCCACGTTTTCCCCAGCGGTCCTCGAAAACACAGTGCTTTGAGTTGACTGATCTTCTGGCCCGCGTGGTTGACGTCAGTGTGCAAGAAAGTGTAAATAATCAGCTTGTCTTATTTCTTCACAAATATGCTTCTTTGTTCTCTTTTTGTTTTTCTTGCCGTCTTTCATCTTGAAAGTGTATTAAATGTCGATATGTTGATAACATGGAGGCCCCGTTTCCTTTTTTTATTTCTTTTTTGGGGGGGCGGCGGGCGGCTTGTGGTGTTGGACACTTAAGTATCATTTAAGAGACGATCACCAGTGACTTCAAATATTTGTGCACTCGGCACTTATTTGTCCCTTTAATTTGGATTTCCCAGTCAAGATTTGATAGACACACGCACACGCACGTATCTGTGAAGTGTGCATGCGTGTATCAATCCCTCACTGAGCCCATTGTCTCTGCCGCCGTCACGGCTGGTACAAGGAGGGCAGAGGACAGAAGGCGGCATTACTTTTGCCGAGGCCACAGCACAACACGATCATGGTAAGCGAGTTTTTCCAACCGGATTGTCGTCTCTTGTGCCTTCCGCACTGACCACTGGCGTGTGTCTTTGCAGAATAGCCGTATGTTAGCCGTGCTTCTATTTGCCGTGTTTTCTTCGGCCCGCTCCTCAACCAGGAAAGGTAACATGTCATTCCGTCGACGTTGTGATTTTCCGCCTATTGGGCACAACCGCTGCGTGTCGCTAAACGATACAAAATATTTACCGTCGTATCCGGGTCAATTGGGTGGCTTTTAATTTTGGCTCGTGCTCTTGCCGGTGAGAAAAATGTCCCGCCTGTCCCGTTGTCTTCAGTGGGTCTCGCCAGCAAAGTCCTGGTCTTCCCTTACGAGACGGATTTCAGCTACGTGACGCTGATGCCGCTGAAGGAAATGGCGCTCAAGGCCTTCACGCTGTGCATGCGCGTGGCCACCGAGCTGCCCGAAGAGCGCCAGATCATCCTTTTCGCCTACCGCACGGCCGACTACGATGAGCTCAACGTGTGGCGCGAGAAAGATGGACGCGTCTCGTTTTACATGAGCGGAGACGGCGTTTTCTTTTCCCTCCCGCCGCTGGGCACCTTCCGCACCAGCCTGTGCCTGACCTGGGAATCCGTCGCCGGCCTCACCGCCGTTTGGGTGGACGGGAAGCGCAGCACTTATCAAATATACAAACCCGGACACGGCATTCGTCCCGAAGGCACCGTCCTCCTCGGGCAGGACCCCGACAAACATCTCGGCGGCTTGGAGGCCCTGCAGAGCTTTGTGGGGGAGATGACTGATGTGAATATGTGGGACTACGTCCTCTCCCGGAGCATGATCCAAGCCTGGCATTACGGCCACAAGGTCCCCAAAGGCAACGTCTTTGACTGGGCCACCGTTGATTATGAGTTGAACGGCAATGTCATGGTGGTGGAAGATGACTGACTCACCGTGAACTCCCGCGGAGGGATATGTGACCTCTACGGTGGAGCGCCTCTCATATTTGTCATCGTCTTACTTATATTTTGCCTTACTTTACAATAGCCTCCTGATGTCGGTGGGTCTCGAAGTGGGGTCAAGGACTCATGGTGGTCGACGATCTGTAGCCTGGGGAACAAAATGTGGTTTAAAAAAAAAAGGTCACGCTGCATACGGGGAGCAATAAAACAAACACTAAACAAATGATCTTGTCTAAATTGACACAAAAATGTCAGGTATTTTATTTACCGGAGCGCCTCTCATATTTGTCATCGTCTTACTTATAATTTGCCTTACTTCACATTAGCCTCCTGATGTCGGTGGGTCTCGAACTGGGGTCAAGGACTCATGGTGGTCACGATCTGTAGCCTGGGGAAAAAATGTGGTTTAAAAAAAAAAAAAAGTTCACGCTGCATATGGGGAGCAATAAAACCTCATGGTGGTCGACGATCTGTAGCCTGGGGAACAAAATGTGGTTTAAAAAAAAAAGGTCACGCTGCATACGGGGAGCAATAAAACAAACACTAAACAAATGATCTTGTCTAAATTGACACAAAAATGTCAGGTATTTTATTTACCTCCTACTACGCTATCTGAGATAAAAATACCTTATCCGAACTTAATAAGGAATCATTTTGGGACAAATTAAGTGGAATTGGATAGCCATGGTGGTCACGATCTGTAGCCTGGGGAAAAAATGTGGTTTAAAAAAAAAAAAAAGTTCACGCTGCATATGGGGAGCAATAAAACAAACACGAAACAAATGATGATCTTGTCTAAATTGACACAAAAATGTCAGGTATTTTATTTACCTCCTACTACGCTATCTGAGATAAAAAATACATTATCTGAACTTCATAAGGAATCATTTTTGGACAAATTAAGTGGAATTGGATAGAATCTGACAGTTGAGTATTTTAACTACCAGTCTGTATGTGTTCCTGTAGCATTTGAGTGCGAATATTTGCTATTTGAAGGAATATCACTTCGCTAATTTTCTCTAAGGCCTCCAACAAGATTTTAGTTTGCTAGCATTAGCACTGGCGATGTTCCTAAAACGTTTTGTATTTAAATGTACAGCGTGTGTCATTCTTTTCGTGTGGGTTTAGTTTTACGGTTAAACTCCCGATTTTATTAAACAACTCAAAGCTAGTGTGTTTGCCTTGGCCGCTAGGGGGCAGTAAAATACATACACTACATAGGACATGTAGATTTAATAACGAAACAAGTCGACTTTCGCAGCCAATTCTTGACCCATAGTTCATAAAAAAATCACTCATACTTTTGCTCACATCTCAAAGCAAAAACTTGTCTCGAAAAACTCGTGTGATAGGTAGGCCCCACAGTACACTATATTTGTTGCAGACATTTAAATCAGGAAGTAAATTAGGGATTCGATTGACTAAACTGTAACCATCAACTAAAATGTGAATTTGTATGTGTCACTTCAATAATAAAGGGATATGGTCCTGCCATGACTTTTTTTGTGTTTTTGCGGGCTGTTCATCCCAGAACTAGACACAATTGTCAGTGTCATCAGCCTTACACTGAGTCCATTGTCAGTACTGACATGACGCTCCTTGCCAAATCGGCGTCATTCAAATTCAGTCGCATTGTTTTATTTCATTGCGCTGGTCTATGTGTCGCATGAATTTAGCCCAGAGGGCTGCGCGCCCCAAAGACTCACCGTATGAAGGATTCCTTACACGTAACTAGCAGAAATGAAATCATATGGCGCCTCCTTTCCCCCTACCCCCCCCCTACCCCCCAAAGACTCAGCTCAGGGTCAGATGTTCTCCATCCAAGTGTAAGTTTGAGCTCGCCTTCCCCATTCACGTCCGTGGCTCCTTGCACTCATTATCCCGGCCTGCGCTAAGGCGTAGTGACCTCCTTGCAGAGACCACGGAGAACTTTCTGGCGCACGGCCCAGGCTCCCTTGAGGGTGCGAAAGTGCCGTGTTCCCAGTGTGTGTGTGTGTGTGTGTGTGTGTGCGTGCGTGCGTGTGTGTGTGTGTGTGTGCCGTCGGCACTGTGGCTGCTGCTAAATAAGGAGAAGGCAGGGCCGATGAGTTGTGACTGCGGGTCAGCAGCCAAATGTTCCACCTTCCTGGATGTTGCAATGCATCAATCGCCGTGCCCACTCAGTGTGTGTGAACACCTTTGTGGACCATCTGGTGGACCGGGCCTGGCATCGCGGCTCACATACGCACGCACACGCATGCATTTCCGCCCCAAAAGGGATGCGGAGTCCTCATACTGTACGAGTAGATGAACGCAATCTTATTGTGTACTTTGCAGTGCTTGTAACTGAAATACTGTTTTTGCCACTGCGTTTGGAACTTTTGCCCGAGCAGTTTCTACAACGTATAAGTAATTATCGTCGTCATATTCGTACTGTCAAAGGCTGTAATATTTGTTGAGCAGAGAGGCATTGTCACACTGCCCTGAAAGATTACAACCTATATTCTTACGAACGTCTAATATCGGATTTTTGTTTGCAAAATATGGTGAGTTTTTTGTTGGTGTTTAGGCCCTCAAAAATGTGCATATTATTCAATATTCCCCAAAGATATCGACAGCTTCCACGAGTACCCGATACCTTAACATAAGGCTGGTATCAGCATTCGCCCATCTATGGCATTTTAACGTTTGGAAGTGGTAACAAGGCTTTGTGTTAAGTAGTGGAGTCGCAGGACATGATAAGTGGCCGTGTAATTCCTGCTTTTGCGTCTTCTGTGGCCTGTTTTGTCCAAGTGAGCAAACAGTTGCATCCCCCCCTACCGCCCCTCCCCACCCCTCCCGTACCCCGCAGCCCGCACGGGGGGCCTGCCAGATCTGCATATCGGCCCCGTGGTGCTCGGAGGTGCCGCTGACTCGGGTGCGTGCGGAGCTGGTGAAATGTTTTCCACGCGAGAGGAGCTAGACGGGCGAAGCGCGCGAGCCGGTCGAGGGGAGACAGAAGGCGGGCCGTTCTGGATTCCTTCGAGCAACTCCAAAGAGATTTCCAGGCAAAACATATTTGCATACGGCAAGACAGTGCTACGAGCTATCCCGGCGAGCTGAGGCGTGTGCGCACTGAACAGATGGAGAATGTTTTTAGAGCTTTCTTGCAGAAATTTCAGCCCATTAAATTGAGATCTTGGGCATTATTCAGCCGGCGTTTGTTCACGGACATGACAAAGAGGCGAGCGAGCGGATCAAGCTGCTCTCGTTAATCACACATCGTTCCCGATAGGCGAAGGGTCGGGCGGCTTTTCAGCTCAAGGGGCAGCGTTTGATTTGGACAGATGGGCCAAGTCAGTCGGAGATGAGCTTCAAAGAAAAAAAATAAAATAAAATAAAAGGACGTGCAATCTGTAAAATGGTTGCTTTGAATACTAACGTGGGAATTCATGGTCATTTCTCAATTGTCTATCAAATTCATATCAGTCTTATTCAACCGCTTATTTCATCCAAAATGTTTTTTAATCACTCCTGCTCATTTTGATGTATTTTTTGAGTCAATGTATCATTAGTAATAATTTCAATTATTATATCCATAACAAAGATAGAGTAAGATTAAACTTTTTTTTTTTTTTTTTTTGGTAAGAGGCAGTTAAGAACAACTTGGGCAATGCTACATGCTCCCAAAAGACCTCAATATTAGTTCAGCCCTTCCTTCCCTCTCTCACCAAGAGGATGTAATGTGCCAGTGTGTCCCCTTCGTCGTCCCCCTCTGGGCTGTATGAAAAATTCACCAGGGCCTCCCATTAGAGTCATTCCGAATCAGGGAGCAAGGCATCGCGTCGGGCCGACGCCGCACTTTTATACCTCCTCGCAACGCAAATTGTTCTCTTTACGAAAACACAAAAAAAAATCACAGCCGGTTGGGTCAAGCCCATTATGTTGATTTATTGCACAAATTACTTTTTGGGACAGGAGGAAAGAAGGACCTTTTTTCACCAGTGTGTGTGTGTTTTTTACCATTTTGGCGGTGCTTATTTGAAATGAAGCCTTCAGTCTGTTATTTATTCATTTGCGTGAACACTTACGAACACACACACACACACACACACACACACACACACACACACACACACACACACACACACACACACACACACACACACACACACATAGGAGCATCACGGTCAGTCGTGAACGGTTAAAAACAGATGGACAATACCCTTTTCAGTGAGCGCCTTTCACACTGGCGGTGCGAAGCCTGACCTTTAGAGCGGTGAGGGTGAGAGCGCTTGGCTTCCACCGGTGCCATACCTTCAGGCGGAACGGGCCCGACACTCCAGCGAGTCGCTTAGTGGACTTTAAAGCGTGTAACAATTTGACTGCATGTTAAGAATAGAAACAGCACAAGAAACATTTGAAAGTAAAAAGAAACCTAACCTAACCTCTTTGCCCGAGCGTGCGTGCGTGCGTGCGTGCGTATTTTAGCATGCTTTAGCTTTGGCCCTCAGTGGCCTGTGGGCTGTCGGGCTCCTCCAAACATATGAGCGCTGCCACATTGCACGATGCTGCCAGGCGTGCCGTGGCCTCTTGATTAAATATTACAGCCCTCTAAATGGATGGAGATTAGCCTCTGTGGGAATGTTAGGGCCTAATTTACGCCCACCCCGCTTCCCTCCTCCCTCCCAACCTCCCAGCCACAAGCCTTCTCTGTCCATGTATGTGGGGGGGGAAAAAAATGCAGGGAGGAGCGCACAAGGGCGTAAAATGGTTGAATGTTTTTCGTGGTGGTTTGAGGTGAATTTCTCCAACCTAATTTTCATTTTAGTTCCCTACAGATTTGGATCGTGACGTGAATATATTTCCCTCCAGAGCCGATACTGTGAATATCCGGTCGGTACTGAAACAACATTTGTTTCATTGGATGCAATATAGGTGACATGAATGAAAATGAGCCACTTGCAGGGCTTTGATTCATATTTCTAGACGTGCTCGCGTTCACTACCGCATGGTGATAGCCGATTGGGGAAAAAAAAACGTGCTAAAACGTGTCAGTCAGCTCAAGGAAAGTGTTCAATTCCCACTTGCCATTCAAATTTGTGCATGTTTTCACTGTTGTGTTATGCCAGCTCAGCATTGGGCCCTGAATTATTGATGCCTTGGTTTTGTAGTTCACCACCTATAAAATGCTTTTAAGGACGCGAGTGCATGTTTTGAGGTCTTTGCATGAAACGCCTCAACTTTATTATTTATAAAGGCACATTTTATGGAAAAGGGATTTACACACCTTTCATCACCAGACATGACATTGGGGGGGGGGGGCACGGCCGCAATGTAGATATAAGGCATGAATTTTAAGTGTGGGCAGGTGAGTCATTTAATTTGTGGCAAAAATATACTGCAGACAAGAAAAATGTGAATTTGTGGGCACACAGTACTCATATCTGTGGCCACAATTGAGTATTTTGAGCCCACAAATTCACATTTTTCCTCCCACTTGTTATATCCATTGTGGACGTGTACTGAACAACCCCCATATCATGTCTGTGTCTCTGTAGAAAAGGACTTAACACACACACATACACACACACACACAATTTGTTCAACATATGTCGTCGTTGGATGCGTGGCGCCTGTAACAATGCGAATCCTTAATTCTCTCTTCATTTCCCTCTCCTAATGGACAAACACATCCATCACACGCACACGCGCATGTTTGTGGAGCATCCTTAGACAATAACCACACACACACACACACACACACACACACACACACACACACACACACACACACGTACACACAAGCAGCGTGCGCCACTGGGCAGAGACTAGCCTGAAAGATTGAAAGCAATTAAAACTATCATCTGCAGTGGCTCTGGGCTGGCCCGTGGCTGCGAGGGGGGAGCTGCCACTGTGCATCAGCCTCTCAGCTCTCCACAATGCGCCGCGACGTCAGAGCCCAAGTGGCGGCACACAAACACACAAGAGCAGACCCACTCGGAGAAACGGTGAACCCCGTTTGGCGCGCGGATATGTTTCAGACCCCCACCCCGCAAGAGGTGAAAATTTGTCATATCGAGACAGCATGTGAAGTCGTGCTGTATTAAATATTAAGTTTTCCTTAGCTCAAGGTTAGGAAAAAAATGCTTTCTGTAATATTATACTTCATTAAAACATAACTGAATCCATTAATTCAATAAAATGTGAATAATCGAACAGTTTGTGCACCCCGATAAATTATGTAATTGCTTCTTCTGGTATGTGTGTCTTGGCCACTGGAGGCCAGTATCATCCTGTCATGCCGGTACAAATGGATCAGAGTTTCACAATTCCTTTAAGTGACCCTACTAGGTCAAAGTAGGGTCAAAGTTCTATCAGTCGTCTTTTGCAGAGGATAAAGAATATATGCCTGTGAGTATAGTTGTATTATCTGTCTACATGGATCAAATATCTGTTGCTTCAAGCATTACAACACAGCCACATAGGTGCTACGTGTAGCCCGTCTATGGCGTTTTGCATTGTTCGCGAGAGTTAAG